TTATATAAGCTATATACCTATATATTAATTCCTTATACCTATATATTAATTTCTTATATTAATAACATTTATTTATTACTTTTACTACTATATACCTCTTATATCTTTTAGCTACTAGATCTATTAGTTTTTAGCCTACTTAAATTAACTTACTATAAAAAGCTTTAGCTTAACCTTAATTAATAAAATAATATAACTATAGTTAATAAAAATACTTTATATTTTATTATTAATAAATATACTTATTTAGGCTAATTAAAAGTAATATTATAAGTAACTAGATATATATAGAACTATAGCCTATTAATATAACTAGACCTTTTATAAGCTCTTTACTATTACCTAAGGTAATAGTACTAATAATATTACTTAATAAAGCTACCTAAGGTATCTAAGGTATCTAAAGCATCTAAGATACTTAAGGTATAAAGAAATAAAAATCTATTATATTTACTATTATATAGTCTATACCTAAAAAAATAAAGAATCTTAAAAGTTAACTAGACTTATTTAATAAGCTAAATTAAAGTATAATTATATAATATTAACTATTTAAAAAAGTTAAAAAAGGCTTTTAAAAGTAATCTTTTTAGTTAACTATTACCTAGCACTAAATATAGCTTTTTTAGGCCTAAGTTAATAATATAGTAACAAAGAAAAAGAAAGCTATTTAAATTGACCTTAAAACTAAGTTCACTAACATTAGCGATATACAGAAAGCCTAGATCAAGGCTGGTGAAGCTGAAGCTGACGTAGATGAATCTAGCGCATTTGATTGCCCTTGTGAAGCAGAAAGCTGTATTATAGTTGCATCTGGCCCTTGTCGATAGTTAATTGAAAGAGGTGGTTGTGTTACGATAGGCTCGTTTTTGGGTGGTTGGAAGTAGAGGGTGGTTGGAAAGTGGGTCCGGTGACTTAGTAGCTAGGCCTCTAGAAATACCCTATTAGCAAGAGCTATATGACTTTGTTTACTGAAATAATTTAACTATTATAGATAAAAAATTAATTTCTGAGCTGCTATTAATACGCGCGCCTAGCTGCCTTAATTGCTAGTAATGTTAAGGTAGCTGAAATATAACTGGATTGTAGCCTTCATCTAGTTATAGCTAAACCGCTAAGAAGTCGTCTCCTCCTTCCAACCCCAGTAACACCAGCCAAATAGACAGATAAGGCCTATAAGGGGAAGCCTAGAATCTACGAATTAAAGTGTAACAGTTATGGATTCTAGGCTCTATTTAATAGGTGATAAGCCGGCTAGATAGTCATTCAAGCAGGCAGGAGTCGTGCTTAATATAGCTTCGCAAACGCATCACTACGCCACAAGCGTCACGCTGCATGATACCATCTCATCCAATTTAGCACAACAAGCATTTATACTTGATTAGCACTCGACTAAGAACCGTAGCAGTAGCAGTCAAAGTTGTCGCCATTCCCGTCGCCCCTCCTATGCTTACCGTGAATAATTACACAGCTTCAGCCTTTAAAGGGACTAACTTACTGAATACAATTGTACGAGCTATATCCAGGGCACTAGGTAGTATTAATTTAGAATCAACAAAGCATCTGCTTTTGGTCGGGCTTACTCGTATAGCACACCATCCGTTTGGCCCGTTATCACAGGCATTCCATTGAGTGTCGTACAAACATGTATGCGACTTTAAAAGTTAGTTTTATGTACTTTGAATAGTGCAATAGATTCATAACTTACCCCTTGACCGGGGTTACCATTACAACTAATTAAAGCAGTTGACGTCCTTGTCAAAAGGGGAAGAATTATATATGTAATGGACTTCATAGTTCTTAAATGTTTTACTACCAGAAGTGCGTTGATTGCAGGTCATCTATCTACCGATGTAAGGCTTAGGCTATGTCTTTAAATAGGAAAGATTTGTGTTTTTTAGAAGTCCTATGGATAAGGTTCATGTTTCGGAATTATCGGTTATGGTATCTAGTATCTCATTAATTTAGTTTTTTACGTTTGTAAACTAGGGTTCAAACTGCAAATATATTTTAATTGTGCGTCGTCAGCTACCTCAAGATCTTTTTGACATATACTATGTATCCTTTCATACGTTGTTTACTTCCGCTAAGAGCTATGTGCTAATGTCTCTGGGTTACGGCTAAGTCGGATAACTCTCTTGAAAAATTAGATATATTGTTTAAACTCTAATAAAGGTATACCACTAATAATTCTCTTTAACATGAGTCATTTCACCACCTGTTCATTAGGCAGTCGGGCTCCGCGGAGTTCCTATACCAATCTCTAAGAACTTCGTTTTTATTGTTAATTTCGGCTATGTCAATCAAAGGTCCAGACCTTGCAAGATTTAAAACACCAGCTTATCCTATCAGCTCCAGGTGCCATAACCTAACAAGAAGTGAAACCTAATCAGGGCTGCCCCACAGGCACCCAGCGGCTTCACGGCAGGACATATAGAGACCAACGGGAATAAAGTAGCTCCAGAAACTGTATGAACTGTCAAAGCCCACACAGAGTCATGAACATAAAGGAAGTTAATGCCACCTTTAGCCTGGGTCATCTTGACATGAATACGGCAGTCAAAGAGTTCATTCCGGACCGCCACCAGCTTCACATCAATCTCGTGACATGGAGCGCCGACCGATGTTGTAAATGCCATTACTGGCAGCTGCTAAACTCTAGGTCTTTCGATGGGACGCTGGCAAACACAGCATGCGACACAAAGAGGGCGGCGGCATCAGGGTGGATTCGAAGAAGTAACTTTGCTTAATCGCTGTGGCAATGAGCGATAACGAGAAGACAAATCTGCGAGAATAAAGCCGTAATTTAGCTCGGTTAGATATTCTATCGGATTCTATGTAGTTTGCTCCAGTTCTAAGCTAAGGAGCAGACTTCGAGCCATATGTTTAATCGAGCTATTCTAATAAACCGTGATGTTTGTACACAGAGCAAGAAACAGCTCTATAATAACCATAGAACATATAAACACATCGCAGTTAATGCCTAGGTTCTGTGAGAACGCTAAGTCGTCTATTCTCCTTAAAGTTCTTCTTGTCTTCTACCAATCGCCCTCTTGTTTGCTATTTCCATGCCTCTTGGTCTTTATTTCATCTCTTCACGACGATGATACTAGCTTTTTGACAAATATCGCCCGTTTTTACTGCCATTCTGCTCCCCTAGCAGACTGGTAAGGCTAACAGAGAAACAGGAAACTTGCTGTAGGACACACCTCTGCAAATTTTAGTCCAGATAGATCACGACATTCAGTGTGGAATACGCAGCATTGTAATTAAATAAGCCTGCGATACCTTCATAGCTAGCGGAATCATACGTACCACACGGGTAGGCTTCGAGGGTCTTGTGTAGACTAGATTCTGTGCGCCGCAGTCTAACCCTATTATTAAGCCTTCCGTACCTGCTGTTCACCATCGCGCCAGTGACCATAACAGTCACTAAGGAGCGCAAGAAGGAATCATTCACTATCACAAGGCATATCCAATAGTAGGAGCATGTCCTCACTAAAACAAAGGCCGGCGGCAGTGTATGGTGCAAGGCAGACTGAGACAAAATGCATGATGCTATTAAACAAACGATCCAAAGTAGGTCTCTAATCCTGGGGTGCACGCTGCTATATCTCGGTCTAGAAATACACGTTGCCCATTTGTATGCCTTATCTAAATTGTTAGTAAAAGTGCTTCAGAAACACTTTGCGAGAACGGTGACGTTTTTAAACTCATGGCCTATCATAGAATGCTTATCAAATTTTGAGACAGCAAAATAAGCTACGGGCACTTATATAACTGCAGTTGAAAGGTGCTTAACCGGAATAACTATGATAATCAAGACCTAGACGTGCTCAAAGTTACTAATTACCCCAGATTCAACCTACCAACCACAGGGGAAACAGCAACTAAAGTTGCAAAGGTGCCAGGACTAGACGCATTATCAGATAGTTTTTCACCAATCACAAGCTGTCATTCAACAGCAAAATGTTCACCGATATCTCGAGCGCCGTCTTCGAGCAGGTTGCTAGGGAAATGCAGAAACGCGTAGAGAAATGGATTTCTCTCCACTCGATATTCATCGCGACCCCACTAACCAAGAGTCACTGTTGCCAGAGAAGATTGTTATCGAGCCTTATATAATTAAAACTCAGTGGAATATCGTGGTGGAATAGGCCAGATTCTCGGGTGTCGGTGGTCGTACTCTCGACCCCGACGGAGGACTTTTTCGAACGGAATGTTTCATGCTCATGCTGCTGTCAATGATCTCGTGTCAAGACTCCATTCACCATTGCAGGCCCTGTCATAAAGTCGTACACGCTACTCGTAGTCATTAGAGGATTCTCACCCAAGTTAGCTAAGCTTGTGGATCCTAGGTACTCTATCATCTACAACTACGCCTGCGGCTGGAATAGTCATTACTAAATTGATCGCTAGTCAAGGATCTTGCCTGGCGAAAACCCTATTACATACGGTTTTGGATACTGCCCGAATCGTGGCAGCTATTTAAATCTGATCCTTACAAACTACAATGTGCAGTGCCCTGGACGTTATGCTCTCCTTTAGTTATACTTGCAGATGTATCCTAGCAGATACCAAGCATAACGATGAATTAAATTAATCACCCGGCTTAACACAAATCTTTTTCGCGCATTTGATCTCCTCAAGTGGCCCTCCTTAGCTTTAATCAATAACACGACTTCACTTTTGTTATAATATAATGGCGTTATGTTTCATGGTATAAGCAACAGTACACAGCTGATAATACTTGCCCAAGTTAGCGTGCTCAATGCCCTACTATGTTCTACCTGATGGGTTTATAATTTTCTTGTAGAGGACTTAAGTTCAACAAGAAATTGATGCGCAGGCACGGACCAGGCGTGATTGTTTCATTTAATGGGGCAGGCGAGCGTCTCGAGGATATGATTCGCTAGGTTCCGCTATATGTACAGCGGAAGAGATTTCATCCTCATTTTTGCCGCCTCAATCAATCAGTCTGTCTGTCATAAACAATCAAAATGCCCATCAGCAAGAAGGCCAGAGTAAGTATACTTTTCAATCCTGCAGATGAAGCATAACTTAAGCTACGCTCTTCTAGATTCAGCGCGAGCAGAAAGCCGCCGAAAAAGCCGGCACTCGCGCCCCTCACAAGCCAAATGGTCTCCTTGTAAAGCCTCCCAAGCCCACATCAATTGTGAGTTAATCAATGCCGTCACCATCACCAACCGCAAGACTAATCGAGGAAAATTAGTGCCAAAATTGTCGCAAGGAGATTGTCAACACCAACAGGGTTCAGCTTGAGGTTCACGCTGGCACCCATGACGCCAAGCTCTGGCCTAAGGAGAAGTGCTGGCCGAACGACTTCCCCGCAGCCTAGACCGGACGTGGCAAGAGCGCAAGCATGAAGGCAAGTTGGAAGGGGTGGGACCTGCGATAAGTCATGATGCATCAGAAACTTCTTTGGTATTTCTTAATGACAATTGAGACACGCATATGCCTCATACTTCGTCACTGCCTCGTCCAAATTTTGCAAGCAGGACAACCTCTTCAGACCGCCGCGTTCCACGTGTCTAGTGTCATAATACTACACTCTTCAATCACGACTACGGTGTGTTTAGAGGTCCTGCTTCCTGGGCATGTAAACACCATGTGATCAAGCATCTTGTGATCTACCGAGGCTGGATGCGAAAATACATTCCAGAGAAACTAGGGGTGCTTCTCATGGCATCAATCATGTAAAATGCAGCGAGGCGGTATTGGGAATCGCCGGACATCTAAAAATTGGGACGATATTTGTGATCGCGCGATTGGTTTCGATCCTAATATGAGCTAAGAAATAAATGAGTAAGGCCTGTCTGCGATAGTTCTGTGCATTGAATCCCAGCAGCAGTTGCTTCCGCACCGGCAAGGAAGCCCAATTGTGCTTAGGGATGAGTGAGCGCATTTCTTTCGCAAGAGTGATGCCATCAGGTTGTTGTCTGACACATCAAACAGCATTAATTGATCTCAGGACCTTCAAACTCCGGAATGATGTCAGAGGCGGTCTGTAGATCTTTGACGCTGTGCTTGAGAAGAGGTTTGATCTTGATAAGCCATGGCTTGTTATTCACAGTTCTAACAACCTAAGTGGCCTGACGGGAAGGCGGGGTTATGAAGATCGGTATTGCAAGAGTTGGTAACGGAGTAGTGTTACGACCCAAATCCGGTTGGTGACTAGTGCAGCCTGAAGCGAACCCCTGAGCGGCCAACAGGGCAGCCAGACATTCAAGTATGCAGGCCAACGGCACGAACTGGGCTCGGAACGGAAGAACTAGGGAAGGTCACATAACAGATCAGTTAAATCACTAGTGATCTAGTATAATCCTCTAGTAAAGATTACTAATTAGTAAGACTAATCTTTTACTTAGGATTATAAGTAGTAAAAATAATTTAAAAAAGAAGAGTTAAGATATAAAGATATTTATTCTAAGAAAAATAAAAACTTTTTATAGCTTTTTAGTAATTAACTTTATAATTTATTTTTTTATAAATAACCTTTAAATTATTTTTTTATTATAAAGCTATAAGTTATTTATACCTAGATATACTTAACTAATTATTAAACACTAATAAACTAATAAGATTACTAATAAGACTTATTTTACTATAACTAAGTATTAACTTTAGCTACTTATTAGTAAAAAATATTACTATTAAATATCTAATTATAATACTTTAATTACTTTTATTTAATAAATTAACCTTAATACTTACTAAATAATAAATATATTTATTAAAAATACTTTAGCTTTATCTTTTACTAGTTCTAAGAGAAAAGCACTTACGCTTTTTACCTCTAAGAACCTAAACAACAAAATAAAAGACGCTAAAAAATTAAATAATAAAATTAAATTTACTAAAAGAATATATAAGGATTAGTAAAATCATATAAAGTAAAACAATAACAATATTATATAGCTATAAGTAATAGTAAATAAAACTATTAATATGTATAATAAGTAAGTAAGATAGATAAGCAAGTAAGATATAAAACTACGCTAATAAGATAAACTAGCTTTTATATTAATATTAACTATATTAATTTAATTTAAACTACTTATAATTCTTATTTTTAGATATCTCTTTAATAAACTAGTACGTTTATATATTATGTCCTAGGTTACTATAAACGCTATACTATTACTAACTTGTCTTAGCCCTTAGTTTATAACTACTAGTATAACGTATTTTATTCTAAACCTATATAGTTATATCTTTCTATAACTATATATTTACTATATTAGTTACTATAAGACTTTTTTTATATTATAAGTGTGTTTTTTTAGTTCTTTGTTATTAACTAAGTTAGTTATTTTTATTTCTAAGAATCTATACTTTTAACCTAAGTAAAGCTACTTAATATATAATGCTTTTTATACTTTTAGAAAGTTATTTAATAGCTTTGTAAATAAAGGTTAAAGAGCTATTTTAATAATAAGTAATTTAACTTTTAATAAAGTTAAACTAAAAGTTTACTTTTACTAGTTATTTAGTATCCTTAAAACCTAAGGTAAAGGTGTCTAAGGTAGTAATACTAGAGGCGTTAAAGTATATAGCTAGATATCTAGCTTTAATAGAATGCTTTTTATACTTAGAGGAATAAGCTTAGCTTTACTAAAACCCTTTTAGATGTTTTTTTTAGTTATTACTTAACTAAACGTATTATAATATATAAAAAAGAAGTTCTTTTTTAAGATATATATTATACTTTATTATATCTTATTCTTAATTTACTATTTATATACTGTTTTTAGTAGGCTAAAGTACTTAATGTTAAAGGGTTAAAGTAAATAAGATAAATAAGGTAATATATAAAGTTTTATAATCTTATTTACTTTATAATATATCTTAAAGTCTATTAAGTAGTGACTTTTGTGCTTATTAATAATAAAAAGGTAATACTAGCCTCTTAAACGTAGTTTTATATAATAATTAAAATACTAAATCTAATTTAAGCCTTTTTTATTCATTATTTATTTATTTTTAGACATTAAAATAACTTAGTTATCTAAGAAACTTAACTTTATAAACTAAGTTAAGAGGTAATATTAGCTTATAATAATAATATATAGTAGAACATTATAGCCTTATAAGTTAATACCTTAAATTACTATTACTTATTCTTAATAACTAGGCTATATTATTTTTATGTTTAAATGCCTTTTAGTACTTATTATAACTATTCTAAATATAATTTAGCTTATTATAAAGCTAATCTTATTAAAGTTATAAATATTAAACTTATTAATATTATACTTTATAATTATATTCTTTATAAGAGTAAACCAGCTATAAATAGCCTCTAGATCCTTATATTAAGCTCTCTTATAGTTATACTTCTAAAAAAACTATATTTATAATTATAGTTATTATTTAACAAAGTTCAAGGCTTAGTGCTTTTTAACTAAAGGCGTATTATAATTAGTAAATAGTTAATTAGCTATTTCTTTTATACTATAGATCTAGAAAAGGAATAATTAGGTATCTAGATTAAGAATATAATTAATTAATATCTACTCTTTTAGTAAAGTAAAATTCTTTAAGATTAGTATTCTATTACTTTAAGATGTAAAGCCCTTTAATTATTAACTTAATGTTATATAGCTAACTAAGTAGATTATAGCTATAGTCTATGTACTAAGCTCTGGATTAATTCTAATAGCTTAAAGGGCTAACTATATACTAGACTTATTAATTCTAGATACTATAATATGTTATGAAAGAAACATGTTTATTTATGTTGAAGCGTTATTAGCGTAGTTCTGTGTCTTACTTGCTTATCTGTCTTACTCGCTTATTATACACGTTAGTGCTTTTTAAGTAAAGACTTTAGAGACTAATAAACTTAAATAATAAGTCTAGACTTAATAAAAAGCTATTAACATTATCTTAACTCTACTAGAAGAATAAGAGAAACTTAAGCTTAACTCCTTTACTACTTATAATAAGACTTCTAGAACATTAAAAGGATTCCTAGTTTAGATTAGAACCTATTAGATATTTTATACAAATAACTTCTATATAAAAATAAAAAGATTTATTTATATAAATACTTTTTTTAAAAAGTAAGTCTTTTTTTAGTTTAAACCTTACTTAGAAAACAACTTAGATAATAAAACACTAAAATACTATAACTTAAAGACTTAGTAAATATTTCGGAGCTTTATAGGATTTAAGTATACTTTAAAATTCTTATTCTAAGATCTAGATAAAAAATAATAAGCTAAATAAGACTTAGTAAACCTTAAATAAACTAAGTCTACTATTAATTATACTATAGAATTTTAAGGAATTTATGTATAACTTAATTATACTAATAATACTAAGATCTTTATATTTTACTAAAGACTAAAACAAAAAGTAAAAGATAAGCTATTTAAGCTTAACTAACTAAATAACTTCTTATAGTATATAAAAATTATAATTAAAATTAATACTAAGCTATATAAATAATAAAAACAAAAAAGAAATATATTACCTTTAACTAAATACTAGTAAAAAGTATATACTACTAAGACCTAAGAACTTATAACTTAACTTATACTAGTAAAACAACTAATAACATAGTAAGCTAAGTACTTCTTATAAGTAAGATAATAGACCTATAAACGTTAATACTAAAACTAAGAAGCCTTATTAGAACTACTAGGATCTAAAGGACTTTAAATGCTATAACTATAAAAAGCCTAGTTATATAGCTAGAGATTATAAATAGCTTAAATAACTTTAGAACTAACTTATACCTAAAAGCACTAAGAAAACTAATATAGTAGAAAAAGAGGTTTTCTATAAATAAAAGAACTAAACTTATTACTTTAATAATAACTATTTAGTTTATTAAGAACTAAAAAAGTAAACTAAATAATACTTATAATAGTCTAAACCTAGAACTATAGTAATCTCTTAATAAACCTAGAAAAAAGGCTATTTAGACTAAACTATAGTTTAGTAACTAAAATAATAAAACTAATAGCTTATTACTAAGCTTATCTAAGCTAAGGAAACTATATAAAATAAGGAAGATAACCCTTATATACTTAATATCTTAAAAGTTATTAAGAAATAACTTTAACTATATATATAAGCTTAAAAGAACTTCTAGAAATAATAAGTACTTAAAGAGGACTTTAAGAATACTTTTAAGAAAAAAAAGAATATTAAACCTAAAAAGCCTACTAAAATAATAGCTATAAAATAAAAATAACTATAATAACTTAGATTTTCTTTTTTAAGACTTAGGTTTAAGAAACTTATACCTTAGGAATTAATTAAAGTACTTAGTAAAAAAATAAGCTTTAAAGAAGAATATAAGGAATTACTTAATAAGTTTAAACCCTT